CATTTTACAAGGAATGTCAGAGAAGTCACAAAACTCAATAATAACCGAGATAAAAGCTCTTCACTTATGTCTGCTCGCTTTGTTTTCGCACGCATGATTTGCAACAAAAATGTTCTGTAAATTGTTGGGTCTGCAGCAGGAGCCCCTTAAGATCAAAAAGGTGGGGCCTGTGGCTCTCAATGGACTCCAAGAAAAGGATTTGACGGGGAGTACAAAAATCTTTGTTTCTTGTACATTGAGGGACACGGGGAGCCTCAACCCTTCCAAGACATCCAAAAGTAGTCCCGTTTGGCCTGTTAGCAGTTGTTGTCGAACAACTGTAGCGATAACTCCCTGCCGGGAGCCGCTGATTGCCCGGTCCTCATCTAGTCAGTCTAGTGGTTGATCTTTTCAGCCGCACACAGCGGCACTAACCGCCCATAAATTGATGTCCACTTCAGGATTATGATGCTACTTGAAAAGTTTATTGAACATACCCTTTGGGAGAGGGTATAGGGTCTAGGTGTACAGGCCTTCATAGCTCCAGACCCACCAGATCTTATCTTCAAGGGAATACATCTCCACAATCCATGAAAGAACACTGACCCCGCTCTTAAGTCCATCTAAATCCCAGGCACTTCAAGGTCACTGGTCCTGGTTCTTCCAGGCATTCTCCTGACTGCAAGCCTCCAAGGAAACCTCTCCTTCAGCAGCTCAGCCAATTCTCACCCCCAGGCCTCGGCCTAGGCTGGGGGGCAGGCTGAACAGGACCCAGCCCTAATCCATGGCTGGTCCAGGCGAGAGAGACAGCACATGGCAGCTCCCACCCATATATGTACACTAACCCAGCAAACACCACTGGCTGAAACAAGCCCGGTGGTTGGCTGCTGTACTGTACACATATTACAGTGTCTCCTATTGGCTGTCCCCCAATATGACAGAGTCTCACTCCGCCCAGGGGGGGTACAGACAAGCTTAGACACCTGGGAATTAACCATGTACCTGCTTCTACAAATCCAACCAGGCTGTCTACAGCCCTGGCACATCACAAAATGCATGGTAGTCCCATCACAAAAGGTGATGGGCGCTACACAACAAAAATTAGGGACTAGTTGCAGCTCAAAAAGCCACCTGAAAAATCTTAGGCACACTAGTTATTATGGTCGCTAGAAGCTCTCCTGCTGAGCAGATGAGGAAGTAGTATCAAAAAGAAAATAAAATTGACATTCCACAAATAATAAAGTGAATACTGGTAGCTCAAACAAGCACTATTCCTCACATACCATCCAGCCTCCTCTAGTTGATACAAGTGATATACTGTATATATGTCACACCATATGGGAGATGTGCTCAGCACTTGAAATTGGAACCAAGAGAAAGTCATCAGAGGGCTGCACTCTACGCGTTTCACAGGAATTAAACTGCTTCTTCAGGACTGTTTACGGTGAGGAGCGTGCTGATAATGAGCCAACATACTGTGAATATCTGCTAAAATCGGGAGGGTGTTACTGAACCAACAAGGGGACTCCACCACACAGCTAGGTCCTCAGCATAATCATGGAACAACCCCAAATTGCTGTTTTAGGAGATGAAAAACACCAAAGTCATGAGAGCGGAATGCAATCTACGCGCTTTGCAGGAATGAAAACCACTTTCTCAGGACTGTTTAGGGAAGGTATGTCCAAACTGCGGCCCTCCAGCTGCGGTGGAACTACGAATCCCATGAGGCTTTGCAAGATTCTCAGACACGACTTGCGAGAGAGAGATGCTTTATGGGATTCGTAGTTCCACCACAGCTGGAGGGCCGCAGTTTGGAAATACCTGGTTTAGGGTAATGAGTGTGCTGATGAGTCAACATACGGTGAATATCTGCTGAAAATCAGGTGGGTGTTACCGAACCAACAAGGGGACACCACCACACAGCTAAGTCCTCAGTATAATCATGGAACAACTCAAAATCGCTGTTTGAGATGTAAAACACCAGACAAAAATGATCTGTGATGGATAGCCAAGGGGAACAAGTACCTGTGCGTTGGTGGTATAGTTTAGTGGTGAGACAAGTTGTTTTACATGCTGGCTTGTGAGTGTGGTATAGTAGAGGCGTAGAGAGGAGAGCGCAACTTCTCCCGAACCTCCGCTATTGGCCAGCTCTGCCCTTTCCATCAAGGCCATGTAATCCTCTGCCGGAGACAATGTGACCAATGCCCTACAAATCCAAAGCAACAATTCTAACCCCCCCTCCCACGTCGCAC